GAAAAAGCAAAAAATTAGAAGTAAACCATATCCTTATAATTTTACCTTCTGAAACTTGTTAATATTTTGATGTATTTCTCCAGATTTTAAAGCATGGCAATTAGAATTAAATAAAAATAAAATCATTACTTTCATTTACATAATTATGAGTATTTTTATGTCATGAATGGTGTTCAAAATCATGGTTTTTGATGTAAAAGATTAGGAGAATGGTTCAATAACTTTATTTGCATTTTCAAGTAATGGATACAGCAAACATTCTTACAGATAAGTCACTGTGTGACTCCTGTTAGTAGATATTCTAAAATCATTAACATTTGCCAATTAACCCTTCAGCTGGTATCTTGTCCACTTAAGGCCATTCTTCACAGCTGCTGTTCATGAGTCAGACAGTTATAGAACTTGGGTGTCAAACTCATTGTCACCAGGGGTCCACTGCAGCCTGGTGGTTGCCTTCCAAGGGCTGAATGTGATTTTAGGACTGTGTGAATGTAACTGCTTCCTAACTAGGGGCAAGGAGCTCTACATTTGGTAATGAGCATCGCAGTCGAAACATTTTAGGGATTAAACAAGGAAGAAAATTAAGAAATTTTCTTTTTCTAAAGAAAAAGAGCAATCTTGATATGTAATATACATATACATATACATATACAGCTTATCTGTATATAATAAATTTTACTTTTTATTTTCTTAAACATTTAAAAATTTTTTACTTACTGATTTTAGAAAGAGAAAGGAGTAGAAGGAGAGAAAGAAACATCAGTTTGTTGTCCCATTCATTTATGCATTCATTGGCTGACTCTTGTATGTGCCCTGACCAGAGATCGAAAATGCAACCTTGGCATATTGGGACGATTGCTGTAACCAGCCTAGAGCTACCTGGCCAGGGCTAAATTTGACTGCTTAGATTTGAAGTGGGCTGGGAGATACAGTTCCTTAAGAGGATCTGGTACAAAAAGAGGAAGCTCGCCTCTCCTCAGAAATTTTTCCTAATTTAGTTTAAAAAAAAATCTCTTGCAAAGTTTCAAATAGGTGACAGACAGCAAATAGAATCCTCATTCCCATGACCACAGATGGTGGTTGAACTGATTTTTTACAGCATTCTTCAACCCTCAGTAACTTGTTTTTAGTTTCTTTTTTGATCAGTTCTAACTATTTTAAACACTGATTTTCTTTCTTGGAGACCTCAGGACAAAAAGAACATTTGCCATCTTGCAGTTGCCTTATGGATGTATCATACTCTTCTGTAAGCCAGAAATACATTATTGATGTTAGTGATCTGATTTCTCCTATATCTTGAAACATTTTGATGTTTTATGACCTCAGGAAGTATTTCACCATTACTCATCAATTCCTAGCTATTAAAAAAGTCTAAAATAATAAGAAAGTGGAGGAGTGATGGAATCATCTAAAGGATGATATAATAGTGAACTCAGTCACTACAAATAAAATAAATAGTTGCTATTTGTTATTTTTCTGTTTTCAAATTGCATTTACCAAAAACCTATAAAGGAAGTCTAGAGATACTACCTTCTAAGTCTTTTTTTAAATTTAAGTTTCATTGGATACATAAGGAATTCAGAATTTTTCATTTTCTGTTCATAGTAGTAAGAGAAGGAAAATGCCAGAATAACACATTTCACAATGAGAAAACAAATCAGAAGATGAATGTAAAACAGACAGCAGCACTCTAGGATCTTTAGTGATGGTGAAGTTGATAGTATAAGTGAAGTCTGAGACTAAGTTGTAGCTCTTAGACAGATTCTCACAATCCATGAACAGACAATATATTTCCAAAGCCAAAAAGAAAATACAGCATTCTCATTGCACAGGGAAACTGCACCTGACATTTTATGACAAAAGAATTTGGACTGTCATATTTTGCTAAATGATATTAACACTGTTGATTGTTTTTGATATTCATGCAACAAATTTACTTAATACCATTTGTAATTGGATTAATGTTGAAAGCAGTATGTACAAAGGTGGTTGGAAGGAAATAAATGGTGTATAAATGAAGACAAATTGGTTGAATTAATCCTTTTCATTGATATTTATAAATCTTTTTTTTTAATCCTCAAGGACATGCTCATTGATTTTAGAGAGAGTAGAAGGGGTGGTGGGGGAGAGGAGGATGTGAGAAACATTGATCGGTTGCCTCTCACATGCACCCCGACTGGGGGCTGAACCCACAGCCTAGTTATGTGCCCTGACAGGGAATTGAACACGTGACCCTTTGGTTTATGGGTTGGTGCTCCAACCAACTGAGCCACACTGGCCAAGACAGTATTTATAAATCTTAATGAATATGCTGTTGCATATATGGAACCAAGAACTTGGCTGTTCTTTAAGAAAGTCATGAGCTATCAAAGTTTTCAAAAGGTCACTACATTTCCATGATAGATAAACAAAAAGAACCAGCTTAATTAGGCAGTTAGAACCTATTAGAGACAAGTACAGTTGATCCTCATATTTTGCAGATTCCATATTTGCAAATTACCATATTTTCAGACCATAAGACACACCTAGGTTTTAGAGGAAAATTATGAAAAAATTTTTGACGCAAAAAAATGTGGTAAAATATTTAATAACATAAATAACATAATATTTCACCAATGTAAATGTAAACAGAACTCAACAGCAGCATTAACAACCATTATTCCTCCCAAATTTAGAAGGGGGGGTGCGTCTTATAGTCAGAAACTTTCACAGTCATTCTTAGATAGATACATGCAAAGAATGACAGTTAACAGAATTGCCTGGCCTGCTTGTTCCCAGCTGAGGTCAAACAAGGCACTTTTTGTTTTCAGTGCTCTGCCTTCCTGTTTCAGCCCCTCATTCAGCAAACAAGCATCACTTTCACACTCTCCAGTGACACATATTCTGCATTTTTTTGTGAAATGGAATATTTCAAATTTTTGTCTCATAAGATGTTGAAGTTCTCTTCCTGTGCATTGACTGGATGATTTCACTTTTTAAAATGGCGTGACCTCTCCTCCCCACACTGCACCCCAGCATTGTGCTCAGTGCCCTCTGGTGTTCCAGAGAGTAAGGAAACCGTGATGGAGAGCAAATGCAGATGTTAGACAAGTTGCATTCAGCCACAAGTTACAGTGCTGTTGCCATGAGCATCCAAACTTAAAACAACGTGGTATGTTGATCTGTTTGTTCATTTGTACCAGAAGGAACCTAACCCTAGTGCACTAATTCAGAGTTTATGGTGACTTTATAGAACATATATGCCACAAATAGCAAGAATGGACTATTTACAAGGTGACTGTGTTCCAGTGACTTTCAAAGAATGTTGTTTATTTTCATTATCCAGCAGGTTCTCGAATAACATTGTTTCATATCAGTCAGTCTGTGGTAACAGTGGATTAGTTGTGTGCGGTTTCACTTAAAGTTTCAGAACCTACCTATGACTTCAGGTGAGGGCTTGTATGCAGTTTCAAGGCCAGGAACAAAAGGAATAAAAAATGGGTTTGTTATGTTTAAATTCTTACTAAACTTATCTAGTGATGTTCTTTTTACTTGCCCTTCATTCTTATGTAAATTTTTCACAAAATTACTTTAAAATATTACAAATTTTTGTTAGGTTTATCTGACCCAGAAAATAACTTTCCTTGTAGGCAGCGTGTTAACAGAAGCTGAAGACACAAAGAAATGATTCACTGGAAGCAGTTTACTTGGTGCTTAGATGTCATGAACCCGTGGTAGTGTCCTCATGGTCCTGCTAAATCTGGAATACTTGATGTAGATATTTTAGTACTTTCCTTTTTTGAGTGACTGACAAGTTGACGAAAGTACTTTCTTTTTTTTTTTTTTTTTAAATATTTTATTATTTATTTATTAGAGGGGAAGGGGGAAGGAGAGAGGAGAGAGTACTTTCTAATGAAGGTTCCAGAGTTCTGTATTTGTAAGTGAGGCCAGTCTGTTTGCTGTAGAAACCAGAAAAGCAAGTTACAGATTAGGTGTATAGACCTTCGGTGTTCCTCACTTCACTGAACAGAATGTCAGAAATGGTGGATTGTGCCAAAACCTCTTTAACAGTGAATATATACATAGTTCAGAGACTCTGCTTCTTTATTTGTAATTATGAGAGATGTTTAAAATGAATCCTGAAATCTCTGTTTATCTCTTATGGCTATTGGTGTATTTTCTGTAATGTTTTGTTTGTTTCTCATTTTCCATTGAACTGAGCTCGAAAGCACGAATGGTACATTATTTATATGTTTACACTAAGCATAGTGCATGATACTAAGTATTCTGGGTTGGTGTTTGAATGGTGTCTAGTGAATTTGTGATGAAGAAATCAATACACAGGTTAAAATGTTACTAAATTAGTAACATAATTTACTAAATTAGCAACATATAAATATGTTACTAAATTAATTAATAAATATGTTACTAAATTAATTAGTAACATATAATTATGTTACTAATTAAGTAGGAAGTCCTCAGCACCTTCCTCAAACTCCTTTGTAGGCTGTCTTACTTTTAATTTTAAAAAAATGTTAAGGAGCACCTGTGAAGTTCTCCCTACATTCTTGAGTGTGCTGGTTACATTAGTCATTCTCCAGTGTTTCAAAACTCACTCAAAAGTGTGTAGGAAGTACACATTTTATCTTTTCATTCTAACAGGTCTCTTCTTCACTACAGAAAAGTGTTAATACTATTTTTATGTGAAAAATACATGTTCCATAAAGCATTGAGGTAGCTAGTCTTGTGAAGAAATAAACATTAATTCCTGTTTGCCTAAGAATTGTTTAGATTGTTAGCAAGATTTTAGAAAGTTTAATAGAAAGCCTATGCATTCTTTATTGCAATGCTTGACTTGACTGGTTAGTTTTGGAACAAATTTAGCTATATAATTGAATAATAGTTGGGGACCTTTATTAAAGGAAAAACTTATAAAACTAAATGCATAGCTGTGTGACTCTTGTTATAATACCCGCCTTATTTCTTTGGTTGTTGTTTTGTGAAACTTTTTTTTCTTCTAGCTTGATAAAGATGACATGGTCTACATGGAAGCATATGACAAGTTGCTGGAGTCCTGGCTGACTTTGGTCCAAGATGACAAACATTTCCATAAAGGCTTTTTTACCCAGCATGCAGTTCAAGTCTTCAATTCTTACATTCAGTGTCACCTGGCTGCTCCAGATGGCACAAGGAATTTGGTAAGTTTTAAGCCAAATTGTGATTAAAAATTTGTTTTATTATAGGCTCTGTTTTTTCTGTTTTATCCTTTTATACCTTGTGTAATGCTGGAAATTTGGGCTAAGCTCTTTAGAGGATTTGCTGAGAGCATTAGATAGAGAGCAGAAGTGGTCCCTTGTCTAATTGCATCATGTTTTGTGGGATGTGACTGGTAATTACCTCCTTTGTCTTCAGTTTTCAGTTACTCACCTGTGTCTTCCTAGTTGTTAAGTGGTATGAATGACTTCTTGTATCCAAGGACCATAGATCTTAAAGATTTCAGAGCTTTTCAGTGACAGAAGTTCAATGGTCTGGTGTGGGGAGGTGGGTTGTGGGTGGGCAGTTAGAACTGTGTTCATGTCCGTGTGCTGTGGGTCTGTCCTTCCCTTCTTTCTCCTCTGTGTTTCCCCCTTTGGGTGACTGCAGGGCTATCAGCGCAGTTAGATAGGGGCCCCTGGACCGCCGCAATGAAGCCACTCTCTGTCCAGCTCCCCTCCTGGTGTGAGGCACAGAGGCCGTCTCTCAGCACAGCGGAGATGTGTGGCTGGTGAGGCAGTGGTGCTCGGCTCATCACTGGTTGTTTCTCTGCTTGACAACAGACTGCCAACGGCGTGGCCTCTCGTGAGGAAGAGGAGATAAGTGAGCTTCAAGAGGATGATCGAGACCAGTTTTCAGATCAACTGGCCAGTGTAGGAATGCTGGGAAGAGTTGCTGCAGAACACTGTATACCTCTTCTGACAAGGTATGCAGTCCACAGAATCCGTGGAGCATGTGCTTTGTACTCACACCTCCCTGGAGAGCACTTCACATGATCCCCCACCCTGCACGCACCCCACACACTGTAGCAAGTGGACAGAAGCATGCTCAAGGTTGCGTTCCTTGGCTGGTGCATTGGAGCCCAGGCACTCCAGCATAGATGGCAGAGAGGTTATGGAAACATGGAATGAGACATGGTTTGACCCCTTTCAGTAAAAACTTGGAATAACCAGTATTCAAATGCCAGTTGTAAACCTTGATTGTTTGTAAAGCACTGTTTTAATTCTCTCATAAATAATAAATCACAGTTCCTGTAGTGTTATAAGAACAGTTGTGTATGAGGATAAATACTTTCGTATATGTGTTTTTGTGTTAAGATCTTAATTTATGTTGTTTCACACATGGAAATTACGTTATTCTAGGTTTCTGCTTATTGAACTTTATGAAACTATTGTTGTTTTCTTCTTTTAGTTTATTAGAAGAAAGAGTAACAAGGCTCCACAGTCAGTTACAGCGACATCAGCAGCAGTTACTTGCTTCACCTGGTTCAAGAACCATTGACAACAAAATGCTTGATGACCTATATGAAGATATTCACTGGCTTATTTTAGTTACAGGTTGGTTGGTTGTTTCCTGTTAAAACATAATTGCCAGCCGAGCAGTTTAAGCCTTAAAAAGAAGCTTCATATATTAAAAATAATAGTCCATACATAGTATTGGATGAATTTTGGTGACAACTGCTATAGTTACAGCTATACATGCATTTAAAAAAATATTGGCTAACATGTATTCAGTGCCTATTGCATACTTAATGTTTTATGTGGAGCTCATTATAGCCCATTGAACTGGTACTGTTATTAGGTATTATTATTGTCATTATTATCCCCTTCTTATAAATGAAGAAGCTGACTTAGTGAGTATAAGGAACTAGCCCATGGCTATACTGCTATTAATTTTTGGAGCCAGAATTAGAGTCTTCTTTTGTAACCATACTGTTAGTGTTTCTGTGTTTTCAATAATCAGGAAAAAATCTTAATTTTTGAAAAGGCATCCCCAAATACTGACTTTTGATATAGATAATAGTGAAATTCCTATTAACTTTACTGAAAATGATTAAAAGGTAGTAGATTAAAAAGCCTACATGTCAGTATAAGTGATAAAAATTGCTGAATAAACATTTGTCCTTTGTTCTTTTCTGTTTTCTGAGAGTAAATTATCTAATAGAAAGTTTCTTCTCATCAATCTTGAAATTAACATATTAAATTTATAATTTACTTTTACATCAATTTATAATGATATATAAATCAAATAAAACAAAACATTTATAGTACAATTTGATAAATGTAGATTTGTTAAGTGTTCATTTTTAATTTTTTTTAAACTGAAGGCTACCTCTTAGCTGATGATACTCAGGGAGAGACTCCGCTAATACCTCCAGAAATAATGGAATATTCCATTAAGCATTCATCTGAAGTTGACATTAATACAACACTTCAAATTTTGGGATCTCCAGGAGAAAAGGCTTCTTCCATCCCAGGGTACAACAGAACAGATTCTGTGATTAGGTAATATGAACTCTATAGCTGTGCTCTTGTAATTTATACTGTTTTATTAAGTTCTGAGTTGATGGGTAGATGACTCGAGTGATAGACACATTGTAAATCTGATACATGAAAGAAGATAAAACTTGGAGAAGCCTTGAAATAAACAAGGACGGCAAGTACTCAGTATGTTTAAGCAGCACCACTCGGTGAGATTTACAGCCACCCCCAGCACTGAGGAGAGCACGTGTCCAGTTACTCTGAATTCAGGGAGACTTTGAGGGGACATCTGTTGTCATGTGCTGTGACCACACTCTGTCAGAAAGCAGTACCGATGTGGGGACAGGTACCGTAAATGCAAGAAATAGAACGTGACATTCTTAGAGACCAGATGAGTGTTAGCAAGTACTTACTGTTCATAAAGATAAAATTATAGTTCAGTGTCTTTCTTAAGGAAACTGGTTCTCATAGAATAGAACTATTTATACCAAATATGTGAATCTTGGAAGCCCTGTCAATGAAGTTACAAGACTTTGTGCTTCAATTGAAAGAATTTACTTTAGTTTTCCTAATAGCATCATTACTTTTTAGTGATGACATTGAGGAGGGATAAACCTGAAATGAGTGTCCTTCTAAAAGTGAATTTGAAAACAGCATTTTAAATTTCAGTATATTTAAATTTAGAATACAAATACTGAAATGATGAAATAACATTGGTTTTGTCCGTTACAAAATCAGTAACTCATACAAGGTTCTGTGCCCCTTAATTCTTTTTATCTTAATGCCAAAATACATGGATATCATTTGAGCCTGTGCAGTAGAAAGTATGACTTTTAAATATTGACCTTGTAAGCTATTATCAAGGAAATGTTTGGGAACTTAATCCTTTATCATTGCATTCTCTTATTTAAAATAAGATGGCGATGCTCTGTTGGGAAAGTTTTCTCTCCTCCTTTTAGGATGACTATAGGCCTGTGGTTAAGTGTTGGGAAATCATTGCTTTTGCTTTGGTTTGATATGGTGAATGTTAATTCAGAGGCAGTTCATTTCAGTATGCTGTCATGGGATACTTTTTGTCATATTTCCTGCCTGGGCACCATCATCAGGGATGCTTTCCTTGTATTTTCAGTGCTTTTTCAATTTTTGCCAGTCCTAGTCACCACTGTGGGAGCAAAACATTTTAGTATCTGAGAGCACAGACTATGGAGGAATAAGGAGAGAGTTTAAACAACCACCAAAAAAAAAAATCACCATTTTTTTGCTTTATTTTTTTTAATCCAAAGAATTAATGTGAAATTGAATGGTATACAGGAGAAATATTACTTATTTGATTAAAAAATAAATTTACATTTCTTGAAGAAAACATTTGACAAAAGTTACTGAGTACCTCCTGTGTATCTGGCACTGTTCTAGGCGTTTGGGATGCATTAGTGAGCAAAACAGACAGATTGCTCCCCTTTTGAAGCTCCCTGTAGGGGAGAGACAGTGAATAAGTAAGTTTTGTTTATGTTAGGAGACCATAAGAAGCTGTGGTAAGAAGCTGAGCAGGGCGAGGGAATTAGGAGTGCAGACTCAGGGACTGCTTGTAACTTTATCTTTTAAAGTCCTTACCTGAGGATATGTTTATTGATTTTAGAAAGGAGGGGAGAGGGAAGAAAGAGTAACATTGGTATGAGAGAGAAACATTGATTGATTGCCTCCTGCAAATGCCTTGAGCAGGGATTGAACCTGCAACCTTTTGGTGTACTGGAGGGATGATGCTCCAACCAACTGAGCCAACTGGCCAGAGGAACTGCTTATAACTTTAAATAGTGTAGTCACTGTCGGCTTCCTTTAGAAGGTGTCTGTCTGGTGAGCCAAAGCCTGAGGTTGGTTAGGGCCTGGGAAGGCTAAGGGAAAACACTGCCACAGTGAACAAGTGGATATGGAAGCCCTGCTGCAGGCCTCATCCAGGACCAGCAGGGCCCGCTGTGGTGGGTGGAGCACGGTAAGGTGAAATTGTGTGGCCGATGGAGTCAGAGGGAATATAGAGGGGCGTCAGTGAAGTCTTCGGCTTTTATGGTATCTGCTGTGAATGGAGTGGGTGCTTCTGTAGGCTTTTGAGCAGAACAGGTGACTGTGCTGCATTGAGAGTGGACTACCAGGGCCAGCGGTGGGAGCGATTAACCTGGTGAAGAGACTGGATGCTCTCATCCAGAGAAGGATGCTGGGTCAGATCAGAGTGGTAGTAGAGGTTGTGAGAAATGGAAGAAAGCTCTCTTTAACTCAGTGTGCTGACTTCTGGTTTATGAAATGCAAAGGTAATCCAAGATTTCCCATAATACCAAGACTGTATTCTAAGGGACACTGGTTGCTGTCTGAAATGTAAAACCTGTTCAGATAGCATGCTGAAGAAACTGAAGTAGGACCAGGGTGTCAGTCTTGGGAGAGCAACAACTAAAACAGTATTGTGACATTGTTGTCAGTTTCTCCAACTCCCCACTGCACCAGGGTCTGAGGGTGCAGTAAAAGTGTGATAGTGACATGGGAGGATCAAGGGAGGGCTCCTCGGAAGAGGTGGCATTTACACTGACACTGAGGGGATGGATGGGAGTTTGGAAGACTATCCCAGGCACTGATAGTAACCGAGCAAGGGCCTGGAAGGAAGAGGAGGCTGGCCTGGATACAAGGGGAGAGGTGCCTGCTGAGGGTGCAGAAGTAGGGTGGGCTGTGGAGCAGGATTAACGAAGTTGGAGTGAAAGTGTTGAAAAAGGTTGCAAAAGGGAAGTGAGCTGATCACATTGTTTTGTTAGAGGATTGCAGTTTGGAGGCTGGGTGACTGGTAAGGTAGGAAGCATTTCTGTGAGTGGAGTAAAAATGATGGGAAGGGCAGATGGATGACAGGCGTTTCAGGGGGCAGCTCACAGGGACTTGGAGGTTGGTTGAGGGTGGTGAAGAGAGAGACAGGAACGAGGGCAAGCTACTGGGAACCCCAGGTTCATCTGTCTGTGGTTCTATTCTTGACCTTGCTCCCACTCTACAAAACAAGGCAAAACTGTTCCTCATTCGAAGTCTTACTGTGATGGCAGGTGTGTAGAAACCTGCGAGATACCAAATAGTGTGGTATTGGAATTGAGTGACTAAATAATAGATAATCAATAGTTCTACAGATCAGGAGGTTTTTAGTCCTTTGCCTTAAATAATACGGAAGAGTGACCTAATCAAGTTGTCAGCTATCATATTATTAAAAATAGTTTTTGGTGGTAAAGCTATGTGGTTTTTGGCATGTAACTTGCAAGAAGTTCAAATAGTTGAGGGATCTGCTATTTTAAAAATGCCTTCCATTTACTTATGAGAATGAGTTTTCTCAGATTTTTTATCTATTAAAATGAAAAATAGGGACCAGATTATACTCAACTCTGTCTCATTCTAGTAATAAGTAATGTTTTTTTCACAGATAAACTGATTTGGAAAATAAAATGCTACATTAATCTCATTCAGAGATGCATAAAATTATATATTTATGTTTAATACTTTATTTAAATGTGTTTATATTTTGTGCAATTGTGTACTAATAAGTATTGTAGTAACTCAATCCAGAAGACATTTTAAAAATCTTAAGGTCATCGGAAATTTTTTAAAAATTGTGTTTTAGCATCTAGACATTTGTTTTAGAGAAGTATATTGTACAATCAATAACATGAGTATAGTTCTGGTCCGGTGGCTTGATTGACTAGAGCATCCTCCCACACACCAAGAGGTTGCGGGTTTGATCCTCACTCAGGGTACATACTTACCTAGTTTGCAAGTTCAATTCCCCAGTCGAGGTGCATGCAAGAGTCAACTGATCAATGTTTCTATCTCACATTGATCTCTCTTTCTCTCTCCCCGCCTCTGTCTCTCCCTCCCTCCCCCTCACTCCTCTTCTTCCCCCCTCCCTCCCTCTTCTTCTTCACTCTCAAAAATCAATAAACATATCCTTTGGCGAGGATTAAAAAAAATAATAATACATAAAAGTTAAAAATGAAAGAGTATAACATTTATTATATTAGGGTAAGAGTCTGGGGGTGGGGAAGTGAAACCAAAACAAAAATTTAAGGAGAAAAAGAAGCAATGTAAAGTTTCTAACTCTTAAAAACTTGTTTATTTTTTTCATATGGATAATGGTGAGTATTGGCAGTAGTGTGATAATTAAGCTCTAGTGCATAAATTTAAATGGCCTCTGTAACTATTTCATATTCTGTTAGGCTGAAAATTACATCATTTAAATCTGTGCTTTAAAAAATTTTTTTCTAGATATCTTAATGAGATTTGTTTTAGAGAAGAACATCTCAAAAAGCATCAAATTCTGTTTTACCAAAACTATTCATTCTTATGGGGAGAATTTGATACATCCACTTAAATGTGTTGTGAGGTTATCAGGGTATCATTGTTCACATGCACTATAGAATTATTTTGTTAAAAGTTTGAGCACTGGGGGTATGGAGAATATATATAGTGAGAAAGGAGAGGAACCTTCGGAACCACCTGTTTAAAGAAGGGAGTCAGAGTAGAGGAGGATGTCAGAGCCTGGGGAAGAGTAAGAAAGAGCTGAGGGGTAAATAAGGGAGACGTGCAAGGGAAGGCATTTCAAAAGGGCAGAGTGTCAGCAGTGTCTGGCATTTTGGAGACATGCAGCTGGATAAAGAACTGAAATGTCCTTAAGATTTCATCACAGGTGGACAGTTTCAGTCATCTTGAAAATAGTAAGTAGGGACATTAGAAGCCAGACTTTCTGTGATTAGAATGCCTTTCTTGATTGGCTTTGATAGTAACAAAATGGTGTGATAATGGGTTCTTTCCATCAAATTTTGCTGCTTTACTTTTTAGCTGAAGTCAAGTTAAATATACAAGGTCTGTCTAGAAGGTATCCAGCCATGTAATATGAAAAACAGAGACATTTATTTAAAAAGAAGAAACATTGTGCACAGGACAATGGCATCTCAGTCCCTTTCAAAGTAGGCACCTTGGGACCTCACACAGTTCTCCCAGTCACTGACAGCTGCCCTGTCGTATTTTCCTGTATCTCAGATGGTCTGAAATGTCTTCCCTTTCAAAGGTGATTTTAGTTTTGGCAAAAGCCAGAAGTCACAGGGCACCAAATCTGGGCCTTAGGGGGCTGAGTCACCTGGGTGATCTGATGTTTCACCAAAAAAATTCTGCACAAGACATGATGCATGAGCAAGTGTGTTGTCATGGTGAAGCTGCCAATCACCTGTGGTCCATAGCTGACACCTTCTGAATCATCTGAATAGTTTCCTTGGAGGAATGTTCAAGCCTAAAGCAAAATTTCATGCAGATCTGTTGCTCTACTCAGTTATTTTGAATGCAGTGGCCACACAGTACACACACTTGTCAGCATCTACCTTCCCCACTGACTAGTACGGCGGAGTTGTCATTGTTCACACATGCGCATTCCAGTCCACTCTCCTTGGCTGCCGCAAACTGTTCTCTTTATGTTGACAATGGCTGGACTTTTTCAGGATAGACTTCGTGTGTGTGTGTGTGTGTGTGTATCACTTCTGGCTGTAATGCTCCCCTAACCCACCTGGAACAAACACTTTATTTTTCTGCATGTTTTGCCTTGTTGTTAACATAACACACAGCCATTAAGTAGTGTAGGAAAGGACATTGTGTACATTATGTAGGCAGTTTTTCTAGCAAGAGTTTTATTTTAAAATATCACTAAGAATTAAGTTTGTTACGAAATGAATAGGACTATCAGATTTAGAGACAGGTTTCAATATTCAGAACATTCTAGATAAGTTAATTACCAGACCCTGACCCATAGAATCACCAATGTATAAAAACAAACAGTACTAACCATGGCAGTGTTAAGTAGTGGTGTGCTGAAGAATTTAGCATTTACTGTGAAGTTTTAATTTTATGAATTTCTCCATTTTGAATCCAAAAAATCTCTTTAGACAGCAGTGCAGTAACAACTTCAATAGAAGGGTGTCTTTGGCCATGAATCCCCTCAGCTTTCTTTGTCTTGTTTACTACTCCTGAAAGGGCAGCAGTGAAGTGGGGCATTTTTCTACAGCTTTATTGATAAAAATTTCAAGTATAGCCTGGCCTAAATCCAGAGAGCTGGGAATCAAAAAGGGACTTTTATGAAGAAAATAACTGATAAATAGATTGAAGAATAAATTACATCTTTTTTGTACCCATAGGCTGCTATCGGCCGTTCTCAGAGTTTCAGAAGTTGAGTCTCGAGCAATAAGAGCAGATCTCACCCATCTGCTAAGCCCTCAAATGGGCAAAGATATTGTTTGGTTTCTGAAACGCTGGGCAAAGACTTACCTCCTGGTGGATGAGAAGCTGTATGATCAGGTCAGAATGTACAACTGTTTAATTTCATTTGGATTTGTGATGATAGCATTTGTAGAAATGAGAACATTTTCTTGGTTATTTTCTCATTAAAATGTGACTGATAGCTGAATGTTTCCACATGGAAGAGAACTATGAATGACATGTGATTTCAATAACTTTTCTTAGGGTACATCATTTGATTCGGCATATGTTAACTAATATTAAGTTATAAATTACTCTTTGAGAATGGATTTATGTTCTTTGTATTTGATATAAATATGTTAGTGTGTTAATAACAACAATTATAGCTAATAGGAAAATAATTGAAAAATTTAACATATTTTGCCATGTATAATGCACACCTGTGTTTTTGTGCTCATTGTACATGGGATTATTATACCCACATTATTTAATCATTGTACCCATGTATAATGTATGTTCTTGTTTTTCCCTCAAAAATTTGGGCAAAAAAGTGTGCATTATACATAGCAAAAATATGGTAGGTGAGTTGAGGATCTCTTTTTTTGATTTATGGATATGAATTCAATTATAAAATTGATGTGAAGTAAGCAGTACTTCATTTTTAGATGCTAATTTCAGTTGACTTTTCTGTGGATTTTTTTTAGCTGATCTTTTTTTCTGATCTAAAAAAATTGGTTTTCTCTTCAAGATAAGTCTGCCATTCAGTACAGCGTTTGGAGCAGATACAGAGGGTTCTCAGTGGATTATTGGCTACCTCTTACAGAAAGTCATCAGTAATCTCTCAGTGTGGAGCAGTGAGCAGGACCTTGCAAATGACACTGTGCAGCTCCTTGTCACTCTGGTAGAAAGAAGAGAAAGGTAAGCTGCTGGTAAGAGCCAGGCCGTGTGTATATAACTTCAGTTTGCTTTTTAGTGTAGAGTTTGCGAGTGGCACACAGTTACACAGTCCTAAGGTCCAGGTAGACCCTGCATTTTTGGAGCAATGTGTTTAAAAAACAATGTCATGGCCCTGACTGGTGGCTCGGTTGCTTGGGCATCATCCCGCAAAGTGAAAGATGACCTGGATTCCCTGCACATGCCCGGGTGGCAGGTTTGGTCCCTGGTTGGGGCATGTATGAGAGGCAACCAGTTGATGTTTCTTTCCCTCTCTTTTTCCCTCTCTTCCCCTCTCTCTACAAATAAAATTTTTAAAAATCTTTAAAAGAAAAAACAAAATGGGACGTTATTGTTAGAAGTGCAAATAGGGCTTTCCGGTGTTACAAGTGATGGTTTCATTGACTGTTCAAGGATTTGTCATTGAAGTATCTTAGGAGTAGCATGCATGTTTAATGTAGTAATTTATTTATAAATTAAAGTTTTAAAAACTTTAGTATAGAAGAGCCCCATTTCATTTTTCAGGTATTCTATTAGTATTATCTCATTTTAAAGATGAGAACAATTTATAATTTAATAATTTAATTTAATTTTGCAAAGTAAAATTTTTAGTGCTTTCTACAGTAAATTCTAGAAATGCATCATTTTTCTCTTTCTGCATAGGAATACAATTATTATTGTCACTATTGTCGTTGGCTACTATATTTATTGATTACTTAAAATTTACAAGGTACTGTTTGAAGCTTTTTATACATATTATCTCATTTAATCACATCAGTCTCAGTCATGAGATTTGGGGGTATTACTGTTGTTATTCTTATTTTACAGATCAGGACGTTGATAAGAGAGTAAAAAAATTTACATTGTCATATTCCAAATGGGATATGAATGCAAGTTTGTGGGACTCCAAAGTCTATGCCTAGATTATTGTACTTTAAAATTAGTGAAATCCAGCTACCTTCCATTTTGTTTACTTAGTGTACATACAGTGTAAGTGGTGTATCTTTCTTTTGCTGTTTCTGCCCATAGGGCAAACCTAGTAATCCAGTGTGAAAACTGGTGGAATTTAGCTAAGCAGTTTGCAAGCCGAAGCCCCCCTCTGAATTTCCTGTCTAGTCCTGTGCAAAGGACGCTGATGAAGGCTCTTGTCCTGGGAGGTTTTGCACAGATGGACACAGAAACCAAACAACAGTATTGGACTGAGGTAACAGTTCCCCTGATTGTGATTGTACCCGCTGGTCGAACTTGTTGTTTTGTCTTTGTGTTGCAATGAAAGAGTCTTTGGAGACATAAACATCAGTTATCACTTTCCTGTTATTTTTCCTCCTAATGTATATGTTGAAGCTTACTGTTTTACAACTAACATCTTAATGATTTGCTCGTATCTGCATGTGATGATAGTGAATATTAATTATCATGTGTTTTGCAGTTTAGGTATTTTTTTCCCCCATCTCAAATGAGAACCTGAACTGGTATATTAACTCTTCATTAAAAATCAGTGTCTTTTGTCTCGAAAAGGGAGCTGTTAATTAACTACTGTATATGTTTGCTAGGGCTGCTGTGACAGAATACTACAGACTTGGTTTAAACAACAGAAATTTATTGTCTCACAGTCTGGAGGCTGGGAGTCAGAGAGCAGGTGTCAAAGGGTTGGTTCTGTCTGAGGCTCTGAGGGAGAATTTGATTTGGCTTCTCCTGACATTGGGGGCTTTGTCAGCAATCTTTGACGTTGTATGGCTTTAGGCACATGACTCCCACCTCTGTCTTTATCTTCATATGACAGTCTCTGTTGTGTTTGCGTTCCTGTGTTCAAATTTCATCTCTTTCTGAGGATACCAGTTATACTGGATTAGAGGATCTACCCATATTACCTCATCTTAATTTAACTAGTTACATCTGAAATAACCTTATTTTCACATAAGGCCATGTTCTGAGTTTCTAGGGGATTGGACTTCATCATACCAGTTTCGAGGGGACATAATTCAATCCATAACAACTACTGAGGACATTGCCTCATAGAATAAGCTATAAATGGGGAACCGAGACTTACCAATGCATGTAGGTTGCCAGCCTAGAATCCTGTGACTAGAAGGGACAGACATTAGCATTAGGCTGTTGTGACTTCAGAACCAAAAGAGAAACCAGGCTGACCTTGTATTTATAGTTGAAATAATTGTATTATTATATGTAGAGCTTTAAATAGAACTGAGATATTATCTTCATGAGTGTGCCCGTTCACTTTTGCACCCAGGGCAGGGCTGAGCGTCTGAAGTTCTGTTCTGTGCTGAGAGGAGTTGGAAAGGGAAAAACAGGCAAGAGCTCATGTTGGGCTTGATCCTGTAAAGCAGAGTTTGGCAAACTAGTCCACAGACCAAATCTAGCCTGTGGTGTGTCCTTACAAAGTTTTTATTGAAACACATTCCATCTCAGTTGTTTCATGTCATCTGTGGCTGTGTCTGCATGGCAGTGTAGTCATAACTGAGTAGTTGAGCCAGAAGTGGCGTGTCCTGGCCGAGTCTGAAATATTTACTCCCAGCCCTTTATTAGGGTGGGGCAAAAGTAGGTTTACAGGTGTTTGTATGGAAAATACAACAACAGTTAATAAATAATAATGCAAGAATCAGCTTCATTTCATGTACTTACAACCGTAAGCCTATTTTTGCCCCCATCCTGTAGAAAACAATCTGCCAGTCCCAGCTGTGGAGGCTTCATGTTTTATTGGAAAGAGATGAGGGTAGTGGCTAGATTCTGTGGATGGCATTGGAGTTGTGTTCTCTTGTTTGTAAGGTCTCCTCCTTCGCTCTCTCTCTTGAAGCTCAATTACGGAAGTGATGATAATAGCATGCACTTATGTTCTCCACAAATTATAATTTTTGTTTTATAAGATAATTGACACACATCATTATATATGTGTGTCATCTATGTGGAAGTCAATGGTTTGATTTACATATAATGTAAAATATTATTGCTATAAGTTTACTTGTCATCCATCATCTCATCTTGACACAATAAAAAGAAGAGGCAAAAAAGAAAAAATATTTTCTTGTGACAGCTCTTAAGATTTACTCTCTTAACTTTCCTGTGTGTCATACAGTGTTAGCTGTAGTTATGTTGTACCTCACATCCCCAGTGCTTATTTTCTCGTAAGTGGGAGTTTGAACCTTTTGACTACCTTTCTCTAAATTCCTCTCTCCCCACCCCACACCTTTGGAAACAACAAAACATTTTTTATGAGTTTGGCGGGGTTTGCTTTTTTATAAAAAAAAATAGATTTCACATATAAGGGAGATCATACAGTATTTGTCTTTTTCCATCTGATTATTTTCTGTAGCATAATGCCTTCAAGGTCCATCCATGTTTTCTCCATAGAGGATTTCCTTGGGGTTTTTTTGTTTTGTTTTATTTTATGGCTGAATAGTATTCTATCATATATATAAACTACAACTTATCCATCATCCATCAGTGGACACCTAGGCTGTTCCCACGTCCTGGCTATTGTATGTAATGCTGCTGTGGAAACATGGGTGCAAATAGCTTTTCAAATTAGTGTTTCCTCTGAATATATTCCCAGAAGTGGAATTGTCATGTTGTGTGGCAGTTCTAATTTAAATTTTGTGAGAAACCTCTGTACTGTTTTCCATGGTGGTTGAACCAGTTTATAATCCCACAGACATTGCAGGAGAGTTCCCTTTCCTCCACGTCCTTGCCAGCATTTCTGTCTTGTCTTTTTGATAATAGCCATTTTAACAGGTGTGAGGTAATGTGTGCCTCATGCAGTAGTTGTGATGACCCTCAAAATGGGAAACATAATGTGTGGTTCCAATATTCTTTGTTTTTTGTGCTTTTTCTACTTCCACCAGTTAGAAATATTTTGGAAAGTGGCAGTTAGAAGTGTTTTGGAAAGTGCGTATTCTAGTTTAGGAAATAAAGTTGAAGAAATAAATAAGGTATGTAATTCAGCCTTTTAGAAAAGTCCACACTTTGTTTTTGTAGGTTCTTCAGCCACTACAGCAGCGATTCTTAAGGGTGATAAATCAGGAAAACTTCCAGCAGCTGTGCCAGCAGGAGGAGGTCAAGCAGGAAATCACCGCCACTCTGGAGGCTCTGTGTGGCATTGCCGAGGCCACCCAGATTGACAACGTCGCTATCCTTTTTAATTTCTTAATGGACTTCCTTACCAATTGCATTGGATTGATGGAAGTTTACAAAAATACCCCAGAGACTGTCAATCTCATAATAGAAGTTTTTGTTGAAGTTGCACATAAACAGATATGCTATCTTGGAGAGGTGAGCACTTTCTAATGTTCATCCTTTTAGGATTTTAACTTCTTAAAACTAACAAAATAATAGATACTTTCCTTCAAATTCAATGAATATTATCCGAAATATTTTTATGCCTCCAAAAGATTTTTCAAAAAGACAATTTTCAAAAGAACTCCGAATTCAGAGGAAGGCATATTGAATGAATATAAATTCTTATCCTAAAAACATGTTAATAATCAGTAATTTCTCTGGGCCAATATGCTATTAAATTAAATTCATTCAGGTGAGGACTGTTTGATAAAACAAATGGATTATGGTAGAGAATATTAGCCAATTTCTTCATGGTAGGACCCTGAGGCTTACAATTTTAAATAGTAGTTTGTATCTTTTTTTTAAAAGATGTTATTTATTTATTTTAGATAAAGGGGAAGGGAGGGAGAAAGAGAGGAAGAGGAACATCAATGAGTGGTTCTTACATGCCCCCTATTGGTGACCTGGCTGGCAACCCAGGCATGTACCCTGACTGGGAATTGAACCAGCCACCCTTTGGTCCACAGGCCGGCACTCAGTCTGCTGAGCCACACCAGCCAGGGCATTTATTTTTTGTTTAGCAAATTAGATGAGTGTTTAGGCACATTAAATTCTTATATGTTCAATAAGAAACTATGTATTTTTTCGTGCCATTAAATAATTTAGAAAGCTTTAAAAAATCTTAAGTACATATTTGTATTCGTTAGATTAGATTAAATCTTGTTCCAAATCATTCAGTAGGAGTTCCTCATTGGTCATGTCATTTAGATCAAAGGGACCTGCTCAAAAATGAGGTTGTATTTTAAATATTGGATTGACCAAAAAGTTTGTTAAGTTTTTTTTTCCTCCATACGATGGCTCTAGTAACACTCAGTTGTCTTCATTAAAAACAATTTCGTTAGATTGTGTCGTGACAGCTGTCATTTCAGCGTGCAGTTTTTCAAAAAACTTTTCTGCATATTATGCTTTATTATTTCAAGAAAGGTAAAAACACAACTGAAACACCAAGAGCTGTGCAGTGTGTGGAGGAGGTGCTGTGACTTGATTGAATGTGTTAGAAGTGATTTGTGAAGTTTCGTCACTGGAGGTTTCTTGCTGGACTATGTTCTGTGGTCGGGTGGACCATTTGAAGTTGTTAGCAGTCAAACTGAGATTTTAATTGAGAACAATCAACATTATGCCATATGGGAGATAGCCAACATACTCACAATATCCAAATCAATAGTTATTGGTGAAAATGAAAAGAGTGTCTTTTATTTTACAGAAAAAACTAAATGGACTTTTTGGCCAACCCAATATTATAGATGCAGTCACAGGTAAACTACTGAGAGGGCATGCCAGTGCCATTCTCATGTTTAAGACTGCTGTTTGGTTCTCAGTGTTTGTGCAAGTTTGTACAGTTTTAAGGTTTCAAACAATCAGTGAAGTTGTTGAACAGCAGCAACCAAGCAAATTTCTGTTGCCAAAAGTCTCATCATTTCTTTGGTCAAGCAAATAAAAATTTGGATGTCAGATTTCATGGCTGGAAAACTATTAGTTTAAGTATAACTTAAACTAATTAGTATGTACTTTTCATATATGTTAATGTTTTTTTGGTGTAGTTTGAAACGAGTATTTGAGATCTTTTGGGACTTAAATGTATTAGATTATATTTTACATTTTATTTAATATTTATATTTGTCCTGGTAGCCTAATTTCTGAATGCTTTCTTACAGTCTAAAGCAATGAACTTGTATGAAGCCTGCCTTACGCTGTTGCAAGTATATTCTAAGAATAATTTGGGGCGGCAGAGAGTGGATGTGACAGCCGAGGAGGAGCAGTACCAGGACCTGCTTCTCATTATGGAACTCCTTACCAACCTTCTCTCAAAGGAGTTCATAGACTTCAGTGATACAGGTGTGGTATAAACTTTGTTGTTACTATTGTTTTTATCACAGCAAAGGATATTTTTTTAGTGAAATTCCATGAGGAAGTTGAATTTACGAAGTAAATGAAAGTGTCATCTCTCTGGTCATTGTAAAGCGAGGGTAGGGCCCCCAGCCCATCCAAGCCCTTCCTGCCTGGCTTTCCTCTTGTAAGAAGTAGGTACCACTGTTACACTCACTTTCTGATAGATGAGGAAACAGATACAGGAGGTTATATGTCACTCGTCCACAGATGTGGAGCAAGCTAGTGTGTCACAGGACTAGATTCACAGGCCAGAACCGGACTGCACTTACGCTCTATTGGCTGGTGCCTCCTCCGTGCCCTGCGATGGCCACTGCAGGAAATCCAGGGTGAGGCATTGGAATCCTTGTTGGGGTGGAGCTCACAGGCCACCCTGGGAAGAGTAGCCACTGACCCCGGGACAGCAGGACCCTGCGGAAGTCAGTTAGCCTTCTGGTGCCTTTCCTGCCTGTTCATTGGGTGTGCGGAGAAACGCCCTTCAGAGTGTTTACGGATGAGCTCAGGAGTCCCCAGTGCCGAGTTAATGCAGGTGTGAATTCACCAGTATTATGTATAGATGTTCCCTAACCTCTCTCTGACCCCGCGACCCACCTTGTCTTAACACAAAAGAGATCGTGCTTTCTAAGAGAAACACAAATTCTGTCCAGCGTGTCTTCTCATGTTCTGCAGATATTTGTTGTTGTGGACGCTGCTTCCTTGTAAGATTCCCTTCCTGAGCCATATGCTGTGACTTTCCCCTTTCCTCATTTTGGGGAAAGTCACAGCACATCTGTGCGTGAAGTTGTTCTTTCTCTGTTTCCTTACTCATGGGACAGCAGTTCTTTTCAGTGTCTGTGCTGTCCCAGGTGCCATCCACCTCACAGTCTAGAAGGCTGAGTCGGCAGTTTAACTAGGGCCCCCAGGCAACAGGGTTTGGAAGGCCCTGCCCCACACCCACTCTGTGCTTCCGTCCCATACCAAAGCCGCACCTGCCCCTCTGCCAGGCCCACTTCTCACACAAGTTCCCATGTTTTCTGATTTCTTCATGTGCGTCCTTACTCCAGGAGTTCTCAAGCTTTTCTAGACCATGTGCCTTTAAAACCTGCAGTAGTTACTGAACCTTCCCCTTGAAAAGTGGGTGTCATACCAACCCATAGTTTTACACACTGTATCATTTGATTTGTGGGCTCTTGGAAACTCTTCTGTAGACTTTCCAGGGACATAAGCACCCAGTCAGAGCCCCGTACCCTGAGGAATCTGGCTCAAAGTCCAGAGCCAATACTGAAAGGGAGGAAGAGCTGTAAGAGCATTTAGAGGGAGAAGCCCCATGATCTCCTAGGTTTGCTGTGCCAGGTACGCTTCTTCCTGCTACTCTTTGACAAGTGGGAGGTAGATGCTGCAGTTAGACAGGTGAGGGGAGCCTTTCCAAATTATAATGAAACAGAAAAAAATTGAAATTAAAATGCTCAGGATTAAAAGTACAAAACGAGGGTAGATAGGGTTGAAGTTTAGATGGAAGAAAAATGAAGATGGTTAAAATAGAAAATATGATAAACAGCATTAACTCATTAAATGGATGGTAAAAAAGGAAAATATTTTTAAGTCATTTAAAAAATAAAGGTAATAGGTGACATAAAACAAAATATTTTATTTTTTAAAAAGATTTTATTTTAGAGAATGGTAAAAGGAGAGGGGGAGAAACATTGACATGTGAGAGAAACATCAATCAGTTGCCTCTTGCATTCCCTCTACTGGGGACCTGACCCACAACCCCAGGCATGTGCCCTGACTGGGAATTGAACCAGCAGCCTTTTGGTTTGCAGCTGGCACGCAATCCACTGAGCTATACCAGCCAGGGCAAATCAAAATATTTTAAATATTATTAAATCAATTAATATGCTAGGTGGGCTTTTAAAGGAACAACTGGCAGTGCATCTCTGTACTCCATTCTCGAATCCTTAGCAGAGCTTTCTGCTGGGGAATGGAGCCCGCCGGGCCTCCAGGCCAAGAGCTGCCGTGTTAGGGACGCCTGCAGGTGGTGCCGGGGTGGCCTCGCGCCCAGACAGGCCCTGGTTTCCTGGGGATGGGAGTCAGATTTACATCCTTGCTTTGGAAGATGGAAGAACTGAGACCCCAGTGGAGAAGTTCAGAATTAGGCTGAAAGGTGGTTTTTAAGTAGAAGTGTGCTTTTGGGGGGGACCCATTTTATTTTTTTCCCCTTGTTCTAAAGTAATAAGCTCTAGTAGAAAAATTTTCAAGTACAGAGACAGAAAAATCACCCATCCTATGCCATTATCCAGGTTCAAATACAAATTGCATTTGGTAATTTCCCTTTTGGTTCTTTTGTACAATTTTCTCTGCAATTGTACTGTAAATACAATTTTATATTCTGCCTTTTTAAATCAATATATTCTTGGCCTTTTAGTTGTCATAAAAAATTTTTATGACTGATGGCTGAATGGTTTTCCACATTTTGGAATTTAATCAGTTTCACTAATATTGTACACCTGCAGTATTTACTATTTTGCTGTTACAAATAACAATGCGGACAATCTCTGTCTGAATTTCTGAATGTGTCTTTATTATATACAGTGCTCAAAATGTTTTTACTATATAGCATTTGAGAGTAAACATCACACTGTATCCTCACCAGCATGTAATTGTTATCATTTAGAAGTCATCCTGAATTTTCCCCGGCGGAATGGTTCAGTGGTTGCAGTGTCCTTCCATACGCCGAAGTATCGTGGGTTGGATCTGGGTCACGGGCCGTACCTGAGACAACTGGTTGATGTTTCTCTCTTTCTCTGTCCCTTCCCTTCTTTGTAGAGTCAAAAACATATCCTCACGTGAGGGTTAAAAGTCATTAATTTAACTAATCAGAAATTATAACTTTAAAATTTTTGCATTGCTTGATTAATGATTAGACTAAACTGTTTTTCACTGGATTGGTGGTTTTGTTAGACTTTACTCAGTTATCTATTCAGGTCTTAGGGTTCCTATTAATTTATGGGCATTCTTTATGGAGTAAGGATAATAACCCTTGACCAAGATATTTGTTTTTTAAAAATTACTTTCTGTTTTATGTGACATTTTAATTTCTATATTTTCTCTATTTTTTTTCTGCTTAGAAAAATTCCACACACCTAAGAGATAAAATAGATGTTACTGTGGAAATTATTTAACTCCTATTGTGACCAGCTTGTCACTGGAGTACATTTACTTAATATGACATTAACTAAGCACTAGTTTCCCGTCATCACTAAAGAGTGATGTGTGGTGTAAACACAGAACGCCATATGCACGGAGTGCTCCGAGACCCTGAAAAATGAAGTACAGAAGGGTGACCTAGGCAGGGTCACCAGGTGTCCTATTAACCACTCACAGATTTATTGTGGCTTGGGGTTCGAGTCTGTTTTTACTTTCTCTAGGGTAGAATGTACCCAGCTTTGCAGATTTATTGATGTTATGACTGTAAGACTATGTGGTTTCTGTTTGTAGATGAAGTGTTTAGGGGACATGAGCCGGGGCAAGCAGCAAGCAGGTCTGTGTCAGCTGCAGATGTGGTTTTATATGGAGTCAACCTAATTCTTCCCTTGATGTCACAAGATCTCTTGAAGGTAATTGAAGAAAGTGAATGTGGACAATAAAATGTATGTGCTTGAAATTTAAAGCTATTTTAGATAAGAATTTGCCTTTAATTAAAGGGTGTGAATACCTGCTTGTCTCTTAAGTACGTATGAAAATCAGATGTTTTTATTACTTTTACTTTTAGTGTCATTCACACTGAGGTCGACAGCTTAGAACACAGGCCCTCACTACTCTTGCCCCAGAATACTGCATTTAAGATAGATTGCTGACAGAAAAAGTGGATCTTTTAGAAATTGCATTCTAATGTTAGCAGTTTGGGTTCTCTCGTCATTTGTCATTAAGCAGCCAAAGTAAGTTAGATGTTCAGGTGTACACATTCCTTTCATACTTGTTGAACATTATTTATTCTCAGGTTGAGAGATTGAACAAAAGAAGGAGTTTACAAATCACTACTCCCTGCAGAAATGGGATGGTAAGAAACCAAGACTGATACAGTTTTTAATTTTGCACATTCTGACTGTGTTGTGCCTTGGTTTCACCCCTCAGTGCTATGGGTGTGATAGTGATGAGGCTGCCCTTTCTTACCTGTCCTCTCATGAGATGTCATAGGATTCTGAGAGCAAGGACAAGGACATGGAGGGAGAGGAGGAGGGAGTTGTGTCGCCTGTGCATGTATGCACACGTGGCGTGGGAAGGGCGGGAAGCATGAGCGTCTGCGTGAAAAGGCAGTGGATCCCCAGCCCGTCACATCCCTCATGACAGATGCCTGGGGGAGGGAATCCCCGTGATCCGGGAGTCCAGTGTCTTTGTGCTGGCGGTGGGTGGGAGGTGTCGTCATCTCTGTGTGGTGATTGCTTTTAAGGTTATTTATTTATTAATATTGTTTAATCAAACAAAGCATTAAACATTCGGATGTATGTTCTTTTAAGTGAGGTTAAACTGTTGTCGATCACCTGCTCTACCAGGGCTGCCCATGCAGGCACTGAATTTTGGGAGTGAAGGGGCCGTTGTTCTGTAATCTTAGCCTTTGGTGTTACCATCTTGTGTTTTCCCAATATGCTTGAGTACACATCAACACATTTGCAGAGGGGTTTTATTCAGAGGTCATTTAATTATTTTGAGATTGGACTGCATTGTTTACTTTTTTTAAAAAAGATTGTATTTATTTATTTTTAGAGAGGGGGAAGGGAGGGAGAAAGAGCGGGAGAGAAAAATCAATGTGTGGTTGCCTCTTGTGTGCCCCTACTGGGGACCTGGCCTACAACCCAGGCATGTGCCCTGACTGGGAATTGAATTGGTGACCTCTGGTTTGCAGGCCAGCACTAAATCCACTGAGCTACACCAGCCAGGGCCACTTTTTTAAGGTAAACATAGAATATCTGGAATTGGCTGTAGCTTTTATTAACTATTCAGAAAATAGTTGTTGCCTCTATGTATTATCATATCAGTTAGTAAAATATTCATTCCCTTTATTGTCACTTATTTTTACATTTAATTAGTTCTTCTTGTTTTCTATATCTTATATGTGTTGTTAAAACATTATTATACTTAGAAGCTTGCCTGTTATTACATTATTTTTTGCATTAATGAAAATAAAATTAGATAACATTAAGCATTTAAATATTTAATTTTTATTTTTCAGTTTCCAACTCTTTGTAATCAATACTACAAATTAATCACATTTATTTGTGAAATTTTTCCTGAGAAAATACCACAACTTCCTGAAGACCTTTTTAAAAGTCTGATGTGCTCTCTAGAACTGGGAATGACTTCATATCCTTTAAATGAGCATCGTTATTACTTGTCACATGGGGGAAAGACCTTATCTGAAGAAAGTTTTTAAAATTTGCATTTTTATTTTTCTTGTGTATTTTAGTTTTATATCTTAAAGCCACCATCTCTGTACCTGCCTTAATTCTGTGGGGTTTTTGTTGTTGTTAGACTGTGTCATCTTTTTCTCTCACAGATCCCAGAGGCATTTGGCCCCTGGCCCCCAAGTCACTCTTTCATTGAGTGCTTTGACTGGCGCTGTCATGAGCTGTTGTGGAGTGTCTGATCCTAGCTGCCTGATAGTGGAGAGTAGCAGGGCTGTGATCAGTGTTAGCCTTGCAGTCAGAAACACGCTGGGAGCCTTTAGTCTCATATCACAGTCACTTGTGGATCATTTCACAACCTCGGTAGTCTTTTGTAACTTACTCAGTAAAGACATGTTGCACATGGATATATATCTTGCTTACCTGCATTCATTTCTAGAGATACACTCCGTGCGATAGTAGTGGTATTTCTTTATCTTTACTATGTCAAGTGTGTCCACTTGCATTTTCTCTTTGACCTTCATGATCAGAATGAGCTCGGAGGTTTGCCAGCTGTGTCTGGAGGCCCTGACACCACTGGCTGAGCAGTGTGCAAAAGCTCAGGAGACAGACTCACCGCTCTTTCTAGCAACACGGCACTTTCTGAAGGTAAGGTACTTAGGCGGCAGGTTATGAGGTCACCCTCTCTCTTTTGTGGAACAGGGAAGGGGAGGGCTGTGATTTTCCCATTGTGTGTCTTCAGTTAGCAGTTTCCTTGTGCACTTTCAGCTGGTTTTCGATATGCTGGTTCTGCAGAAGCACAACACGGAGATGACGACAGCAGCCGGGGAGGCGTTCTACACGCTGGTGTGCCTGCACCAGGTACAGCCATGGCTCTTGGGGCCCCTCATCCTCTTAGAAGGAGATGGTTCAGATCCACAGTAGGTGTGAAGCCTCCAAATTAAAATTAGAGGGTCTGTGCTTCGGGGCTGCAGCTCCGTTATGCTCAGGCTTCTTCACTGTCTCACTAGCTTTCGACTGTTCTCTTGTTTATCAGACAAGCTGATGGTCAGTAAGAAAGCATTTATTATTTTCCCTTCCAGAACTATCCTTTGCCCTAAAGCATGTCCTTAAGCAACTGGTAGGAACCAGGAGTCAGATGTGAGAGGATAATGGAGACATGCTTCTGTCCTTGAGGAACTCAGATTTTATAAGGCAAACTGGATGAGTGAGACGGGAGACCCAGAAGAGGCAGCCTTTAGAGAGCATGGGGAACAACAGTGTTTATTCCATACTGTAATATGGAAATATGGAAACAGTGTTCTTTTTCTTTTTTTCCTCTTCTTTTTTTCTTTTCCTTTCCCTTTCCTTCCCTCTCTTCCTTCTTTCTTGTTTGAGTCTTTAAAGCACTTAGAGATGTGGCGTTAATGTAACAGAAGAAAAGTTATGCTGGCTCACCTGTCTCCTTCCCTGTTTTAAGTGCCCATTCAGTGTATGAGAAAGAATCTCATTTGGTCATCAGATGCCCCCTGCACACATTTCCCAGCATGACCAAATGGTTTGCTAGAGAAACTGTGACATTTTTTTGAAGTGTAGAGGCCATAGCATTTGCTGTGATCGGAGCTGAGAGTTGTATTTTTTCTTGTTTTATAAAGATAGGATTTCAAGGTGGTCATCATACTATTTTGAAGACCCCCTTCTGGCAGGCTTCCCAAACTGTTTGTGCCCCAAGTTGCAGGTGCTCAGAAGTTCACTTCCTGAGATGGTGCCCATTGTAGTCGGGGCCTTTCTCTATCATTTGACTTCCTGTTCTTAGTAGGAAGGTGGGCTTCTTATTCTTACATACATAAGAGGTTACATTCTGGTTACCTTTTGAAAAAACATGCATGGCCTGACCGGTGGGGCTGAGTTGTGGGACACTGTTCCACAAGGCCAAAGGTCACTGGTTTGTCACCCAGTCAGGACACGTGCCTGGGTGAGGAGTTTGGTCTATGGTTGGGGCGCATGTGAGAGGCAACTGATCTTTCTCTGTCACATTGATGTTTCTCTTCCTCCCTTCTCCTCTCTCTAAAAATTTTTTTTAAAGATTTTATTTATTTATTTTTAGAGAGAGGGGAAGGGAAGGAGAACAGAGAGGGAAACATTGATGTGAGAGAGAACATCAGTTAGTTGCCTCTCATACGAACTCTGACTGGGGACCAAACCTTCAACCCAGTCATGTATGTGCCCTGAGTAGAAATCAAACCAGTGACCTTATGCTTTTCAGGATAACTCCCAAGCCACTGAACTTAAATCAGTCAGCTAAATAAATAAAATCTTTAAAGAAAACTTCACACATTGTAGAGCAGGAATTTGGGATTGGTGAGGATGATGTCCTGCTGGTCTGGCCCAGAGACACGGCCATTTCATGTTAACAGGGACATGGTTTGTGTTCATTCTTTTCCCCTGTGAAGAGGACTGTCCTTTAGAGGCGGCACTGAAGGCAGCCACTCTGGCTCCATGCCTGGCTGGCTTAGGGTGCTGTGCCCTACTCTTCCAAATGTCATTAATGTGTGGTTTTACCAGTTTGGTCCATCATGATGTCGCAGGAAACTCCTAAAGAAGTGGCAGACCCCATTTTTTGAGAGCTTATCTTGGAAAGCTGCCCTGATTTCATTTCCTTTAATGTCACGCCCACTTAATTTGTATAAGGCTTTGTTATGGAGGGCACTAAAAGTAGAAAAGGCACACACACACACGTATTTGTAATCTCCCCCTGTCCTTTCTCCCAGAGCCACTGAGCACAGGGCTGGTTTGAGCTGCAGGCGCACAGCCATTCCAGTGTTCTGCTTCCACATTGAGAAAGGACTGAAATAACCCTTCTCCCTCTTTGCCACCTGCCACCTGCATTTGTATGACCTGCTGTCTGCAGAGCTGAGTGGACATGGTGTCTATAAAAACCTCTGGGAATCGGTTGAAAGGTTGCTGACTTTGTGCTTTGAAAACACAGAAGAGGCAACACAACAAAATTGGTGCCAGTCTGCATTTTTGCTCAAAGGCATTGTGTTCTTGGATGTATTAGGTGGTCTCGCTGTATATAAGAATTCCCACCTGCAAAATGGGAATATAATCAGAGCTTGCCTTGGAGGCTTGTTACAGCAGGTGTGTTAACCAATGGAGAAGGTTGAGACAGAACCTAGAATATGTGCTGACTGAAGAAGAGCTAGCAGACTCTGCCTCTTAGAATCCTGTCATCCAGTAACTGTTAGGACCCACTTGTATGCTGCTTGAGGGAGACGTGTTCTTATATACACTTTCTCTCTTTGATAGGCGGAGTACTCTGAATTGGTTGAAACATTACTGTCAAGTCAACAAGACCCCATTATTTACCAGAGATTAGCAGATGCCTTCAACAAGCTCACTGCAAGCAGCACACCTCCTACGCTGGATCGGAAGCAGAAGATGGCCTTCCTAAAGAGTTTAGAAGAGTTTATGGCAAATGTTGGTGGTCTCCTATGCGTAAAATAAAGAACAAAACTCTATGCTTAATTTAGATCCTTTCTGCAAAGTGCACTGAATTGCTAAAAGTCGAGTCTTGTCCTGTCCTCAGTTCCTTGGCCATTGGGGTTTGGGAGAGATTGGCAGTTTGACATGTAACCAATGCAGTGAGACAGGAGAGCTCACCTCCACTCAGCGTTTGCTGTTAAGTGACCACGGTCGGTCACAAGTGTTCTGTAGGTTTGGAATGGCGATTTAACCTTTTCAAAGTGAAATTTCATATATGTGCAAACAGATATGGGCACAATGAAATGTTCAGTGCCTTCTCCTTCTTTGTCAAATGTTAGGTGGCTAGTCAAAGTTTAGAATTTTCATCATGAAATATTGGCTATATACTCGTATGTTTGGTGATGTTTCTCAAATGTTTTCCATCAGCCACCTGCAGTGCTGAGGAGCTGGGCCCAGTGCAGGCTCTCGGAGGCAGAATTTCTGTTTGTAGGCCATGGGATCCTTCATTTTAATAAACTCCCCTCTGCTACCCCAGAAGTTTTGAATCAATACAAGAGATGCTGAAAACTTGGAAAAGGCTTTGGGCTTTGGTGCTTTTCCTCCCAGTGATTCAGTTCTGAGTTTGGAAGGAGGGAGGGCATTGGCTGGTGCTCACTGGCCTCACAACATTGCCTGGTATGACAGTTTTTGTGGAAAACAGGTCTTTGGTCAAACTCTGATGCCTGGACTCGAGGAGGAAAATACGTGTATATTTTTGTTCCCTAATAAGTACTTTAGGAACTGGAGCCATTTCATTGCCTTAATTTTAAGAAGAAAGGACAAAAAAAAAAAAAGGCAGATCTGTTTTAGTAAGAAATTCAGTCTCGAGGCCTCAGAGTGGGTTAGGGTGTACGCTCCTCTGAACTTGGTGCCCTTGTGGCATATTCATGTGGCTTTGTGAAGGAAACGGGAGGCTCCTCCATATGTAGCCTAACTCTGAGTATGTTTCTGTCCAGCCTCTTAGCCATGGCTATAGTATTCTATTCTGAATGGCTTGCTTAAGCAATAAGTATTTTAAAGGATGGGAGTGACTACTGCAGATTTTAGACATTGGGACATTGGGGGCAGTAATTATGTTGGAGTGGATATATCCTCATTTCACAGGAGCCATGTAAATTGAGAAGATAAAAAAATCCACTTTGACTGTCTAGTTTGTGGGTTCTAATCAGGATTTTACTACTGTCATGCTTCCCTTAAGTTATGGAAATGAAAGATAATTTCTAAACCACAGGCACATGGCCCATTGCCATGTCAGAGTCACATGGCACAGTGACACTGTTTCAGGGAAGGGGTGTCCTGCTGTGCTCTTGATACCTCTGGGCTAAACTGTCCCTGGAATGCGGTGTTACTGTCTGGATGCATGTAGCACGTGCACCTCCACAGCAGTGCTGTTTGAAACTATATAACTGTTATTAGCAGTTAAAGTTACCAAAACAGGAGCATCTAAGTTACACCCAGCTTGGCATGTTACCTTAGACACCTGTCAGTGCAGAGCTGGAGCCAGGGCTTTGAGAACCATCTGTTAGTTGTCACCATCAAGTAACAGTGGAGGGAGAACAAAGTCATCTTAAAACAGCTAGGAAAAAAAATGTCCTTCACTCTTCATGAAATATATATTACATTGTTTTTTAAAAAATACTTTGAACCATTCACTTATTTTTAGATTTCTTTTTTCCCCTTAACAAATCTTGAAGCCATGGCACCAGTAACCACTATTTTGCACTGTTCTTGGTGTGGTACGTCTCCCAGCTCTGCACACCTTCTCAGTGGCCGTAAGGCACGCGTGTCTGTGTGGAATGAGTACCGTCCCTTTGCAGAGTGACTGGGACACACAGCTGACTGGCTAGGTCCACTGGCCATGACAAAACTGTACTCAATTTTTTAAAAACTAAGGTAAGTAGGAAAGGGATGCTTGGGAAATAAAAAGGCATCTGAATTTAATAACTGTTACTTAGATGGAAATGTATGTGCTAAATTTGTCCAGATGCTGTTGATCGTACTGCAGTGTCATTAGATGACTGTTAATAAAACCAAGATGCACTTCACAGTGGACCAAATAAGCCTTCCGATATCACCAGAATGTGGAGAGTGGCAAATGGGAAAAAGGGGGCAACACTGTGTTTTAGGTAATGGGGACACCACTGAACTGTAGCAGCTAGACTTGTGTGTGTGTGTGTGTGTGTGTGTGTGTGTGTGTGTGTGTGTGTGTGTGTTTTCCTGATTGGTATTTGTTTAGTTTGGGTCTTTTTCTTCTTTTGTCCAGATTTGTCTTTAGCTGTGCTTATTGGCTTTTCATTTTTGTGGGTTTTGTTTTAATGCTATCGGCCCAGTGGGGGTTAAGAACACTGGCTTAATTTTAGTAAATTGATTTTTACTGTTAAAACTGTTAAGTTGCCCAGAGAGTTTTAAAAACTAGAACATTATTTGTGCCCCTCCCTGTTTAGATATGTTAAAAGGATACTGACAAGTATTTGATTTTTTGTAGAATTTTGTGTTATATGAAATTTATGTTCATGCATAGTAACCTTTAACCTCTAGTTTCTAGCTTTTTGGTTCATTCTTTGTCTGATTTTATTTTCCTGGGCCCATTGGTTTCCAGAGGTGCAACCTCGGTGGACTTTGTACTTTCACATTTGGAACTGGTGTAACAGTCCCTGCCACTACATCCTTGTTGCTCTGTCACAGGATTCGGCTTTTCATGGTTCCTCTGGACGGGTGGCTGCCTGGGCAGCTAGAGCACGTGACTACTTTTCAGTGTCCTTTTCACAGTTATTTGGGTCTTTCTTTCTTGCTGTTTTTTTAATTTGTTGGAAGATAGTAGCATGTTAATCTTAATGTATTGAGTTTTTTCCTGGTATAAAGTGTGATATTTTATGTAAAAAAACAACTTTGCAATCTTTTTCAAACTAATTTTGAAAACTTAATCATTTCATTGTAAGCCATGTATCTAATTATATGACATTATTCTGCTCACATGAGATGATTACTACTCGTTTCTATAATTTTCATTTCAAAACCCAGCATTTGTATAGCATAGCCCTCCAGTAGCACTCTTTTTGCAGTCTGTGATTTAAGTTTCTCTTTTACAAAAAATGTTGGTCTGTATTTGTAATGCTACCATATTTCTTATTTCTGTTAGTACACGTATGAACCCTTCCAGATTTAAGGGAACTGTCGATTTCAAGGATTTCAAGTCTGAGCACCCTAGGAGATCATGTCAGTTTAACCCTTAAAATACTCCCTTTGTCTATTACAATTATCCTCTGTTTGCCACCTCTGTCATAGAGGTGGTTGTCATTAGACCTCACTAAGGTAGCTGTCTGATGGATAATTATCATTACTGGTTCCTGAATAAAATACTCACTGTTAAGTCAGAAGGAACCTCAATACTTCTTAGGTTTTTTGTTTTTTTTTTTAAATGAGACAATAAGGAATTGATTTATGTGTTTTTAACACAACTTTCTATAAATTCTTCTACAAAACAACAACTGATTTGAGGATACAGTGTTTTAAATTATTTAAAAATGTGAGTGTATATCCTCTGACTTGGTAAATAACTGTTCTGAAAACACTGCATTTTAGAATTCTTTAAAAATTGATCTTCTAAAATTAAAAAATATCCAAATTAGGTAGATTGCTGAGCTCAAATTAATATGAAGTGCCATGGTTGAAGTTGAACTTTAAACTTTTTAATTTAGATGTAAGATGTGAAGTATTTTTGGTCAGTTATAATGGGAACTCATGATATATTTAGCCAAAGAATATATTTGGTTCAGGTAAAAGTACAAGCTTAATAATGGGCATCCACTCTGCTCTGGAGGACTAGTGGAATGATCTGTTTATGGCCTCTAGCTCCCTGTCTTAAGTCTGTGCAGACTGAGCTACTCTGAGATGGCGATGGCGATGGTGATGGAAGGAGTGGCTTGCACATGAGCATCCTTAGGTTCACATGCACACTGGCCTGTCCTCCTCACCCCTTGGGGTTTGCTCCTTATCTGTTCCTAGGCTTTCCCAGCAGTGGAGAGGTTTACTCCTTTTCAGTCTAGTTTTTAGGTCTCCGCTATTAGGAGCTGTCAGGTATGTACTAATAGCTTACCTTCTTAGCCTGAAATTAAATACTGCACCTGCACTATGCATCCTAACAGAAATTTGATCTCAAGTGTGTTCTGAGTTTAGGCTTTCTGGTGTAGTGTCATCTGTCACATAAAATTATGACAGATTGCAAATACTGATGTTGCTACCATTCAGCACATGTAAAATTTTTTAAAATTTATAAATATTAAAATTTTAAACTTACACTAAGACTTCGATTTTGGGGGGAGACCCAGGGACAAGAATGCTGTTAATTTACCTCTATTAACATTACTAACAAAGGTATAAAGTTGCATTTAATTTTTCAAAAGATGATACAGTACAATTTTAGGAAATAAGTCAAGGTTATGTGTTAAGCCAGTTAAGCGCTGAATATCAAATTGATAAAATTTTATTTGTATTTTTAAATCCATAAATGGGAGTTACTATGTGTCTTTTAACTAAATATTTTTATTACATTTTTGTTTTGACTGTGTGTGATTTGTTCATGGGTATTTAGTTGGACTATTTTACGAAACCGAAATGATACCAGTTCATTTAACATCACAGGATGATTGACATTGGGGACGTTACACAGTTACAATTAAAAAAAATAAGAAAAACATGATGACATACCTGTATAGATAAAATAAAGATTTGCATTACCTTCTGGGAGAATACCCAGCCCTAACAGAATATCCAGAATTCAGAAAGAAAAAGCTTTGTTTATGTTCTGTAAATTTAGTATATTTATTTTTATGTCAGCTTACAGTCTTAGAAACATATTCAAAGTTATTAGTTAAATCATCGAATTTGGAGTATATTTGTAGTAAAGAATTTTAGTGGTTTGGGGTCATTCTTTTTGGCCTTTCAGGCAACGTGGAAAATTAGTCATTCTGCTATGACAAGCCAACTTTCACTCTTTATCTAATATTAAA